GCATGAAGCCCTTGGTTAATTCCTAGTGTCTACACACATGCACACACGTACACACACATATATGCACATATCCAAATGGAGGTACTGTAGAGAAAAACAAATTAAATCTACCCAGTAATCATAAATGTGATGGGAACAACACTAGGTCAAAGACAGCATTAGAGTCAGCATTAGAGAAATAAAAGCAAAGGCAGGAAAATTGAAAATAAAGATGGGAGAAGGTAAATTAGGAATTGGGAAAATATTAACCATAAGAAACTGGCTGTATTAGCATCAGAGAGACTTTTTGACAAAGAACATTATAAATGAGAAGGGTTTCTATATCAAAGAAAAATTTTATTACCAAGAATGTATGATGACTTCTGAAACTGAAAGAAAAGCTACCTGGTGGGAAAAATGAGGAGGGATATAAAGAGGCGCTTCCCATAGTCCACCAGAATTGATGGTGGGCTAGAATGACCAGAATTCAGTGTGGATGAGGATGTGGGTTAGTGAGGCTGTTGGGAACATAAACTGGGTGTCCACTGTGGAGGACCCTGTGATCCACTGTTTCTGGCTTGTTTGAAATATGCTGTACCACAGAGAAGTGCCCCCCATGAACCCAAGGAAATATGTAAAGAAAAGAATGGCCTTGCTTGCATCAAGAAACATAAATCCAACAGAAGAGTGAATAAAGTTATGCTGAGGTCATGTAATGGACTGTTACTTGCCTCAGCAAGTATTTGTATTTCATAGCTACAGAGAGGGAGCAGTATGTGAAAAACACGCACTTTGTTTCACTGCTTAGTAAGTGACTTAGGTGAGTTACTCAATCTCTTGTGTCTCAGTTTTCCCATGATGACCCACACAGTGTTGTGGAGACAATTAAATGTTGCTTGAAATATGCTTAGTGTTGTGCCTGGGATGTAGTGTGAGCTGTGCAAATGTTGAATGGATATTTATCCAGATGTCTAACGTATGAATGAATGTGAAAAAGCAGGTTCATTTTTCTTACGTGAAAGGTTCTAAGTCACAACGTGCCACTCTGTGCTGCTTGTGCATGTGCGTGTGCCTGTCTTTTTTGTGCTTGGCCTCTCCTTTACTGTTAGGCCCCATGGCCCTTCCACCTCAGCTGCCCTGATTCTGGTCCTGGAGAAGTGGTAGAGACACTGCCATGTGAGTCCGTGATGTGCTTTCCTGAAGTCCTGACCTTCAGGTTTTGACCCTCTTTGACCTTTTTAGAGGGAGCTGCTGGGGCAGGAGGTGCCCAGCAAACTCAGGATCCCTTTTTGAGGGTCCACGCAGCCTTCTCTTGTGCATGGAGGCTTTTGGGAGGACTTGTCTGGCTGTACCAACAGGAGAGGACCTGAGGAAGATGTAGAGGAGCGGCACTTTCTGTCCAGCTACAGGGCCCACATGGGTGGGACTAAGCACCTATCTGTTCCTTATGAGGGTTGGCTGCAGAGGGGTCTCCAGAAGCCAAGAGTGCAATGGCATGCTGGTGCTGTGGTCCACAGATCCTCTGGGAGACATTAAGTAGACTGGAGATGCCGCAAGCCTAGAGCTTGGAGAATCCCAGGCGAGGCGTGGTCACTCCAGCTCTGAATCATCCCCGCTTCGCCATTTCTCAGACTCTGACCCCCTCCGTGTTGCACTTTGAACCCCTCACAGGCAAGACCCTGGTGAGATTATCCAGGCCTACTGTACTGAGCTGCTTCTGTGTGTGCGTGCGTGCGCATGTGCATGTGTATTTAAGGGAGAGATCTTTCTCTGTCCTGCCTGTATGGAAGGATCACTAAGAGCACGGGGACTGCCTCTTGGGGACTTTTCTCCTTATCTACCTGGATCCTTTGTGATCAGTGGTTGAGTTGGCTGTGGCTTAGGGATGGCAGGCTCCTTACCTCCTTACCCTGGTGTCTGAGGGTGCATGCTTCCCTCAGTGCTATGAAGCCAGCCCTTCATCTCAGAAGCAGCCAGGATGGGCAGGTTGGCTGAGGTGGAAGGCGCCTCTTATGCCAGAGTGCTGGGATTCTGTGGGAGTGGGTGTGGGCAGGAGGCCTTCATTTACTATAAGGTGAAGGTGGCTTTGGTGTAGGAGTCTTGCCGGAGGCTGTAAATCGCTAAGTGTGTGAGAAAACAGAGCCAGGGAGGAGAGAAGGAAAGAGGGAGGCCCCTGGGTCTCCACCTGGTAGGTAGCAGAACCTTGGTATGGTGTGGGAGAGGCATGAAATATCACCTCACTCTGAACACAGAGCTCTCTGAGGCATGAGATGACTTAATGGACTCTAGGAATTACATTGGGCAGCAGGGAATTGGCTTTGATAAAATGGCTAATGTGCCAGGCATGTTCAGACCACTTTTGAAATGCATTAACTCATTTAAGTTTTCCCAACAACCCAAAGAGGTAGGTGCTGTCGCAGTGATTAGGTAACTTGCCCAGGGGCACACAGGGCAGAATTTGAGGTCTGGCTAGCTCAACACTGTTGTTTTGCTGGGTTGCCTAGCAGGATCTGGTCAGATGAGGTTCAGGTAACATCCTGAACCTTTGGGTCCTATGTAGAACTTCGAGATTTGAAGCTCCTAGTTCTCTCCATTTGGGTTCTATCCATATTAGTGGCCAAATGGGTCTGGGTCTGACAGTGGTCTGGAAAGAGGAGCTGTGCCAGCTCTGACCTGTTCTGTTTCTTGGTGGAGTTCTAACCTTGCACAGGGGACTTGCTGCCTGTTGTCTGAAGGGAGATGTAACACTCCTGGACTATGAGTGTAGGTCAGTGTTAAAGCACTTGCCTAGCATGCGTGAGGCTCTAGGTTAGAGCCTCAAAACAAAACGTGTTCTCATCTCCTTTTGAAATCTTGCTTTAACCAGCACACCTATCTACACTTTGTGACAACTTGTATGTGTCTGGATCTGGTTCTGACACTTATGGTCAAAGGTCCTGCTTTCATCAACTTGCCAGTCTTGTGGGGAAAGCCCAGAATTCGAATACAATTATTGAACACATTTGTAATGCTTTATTTCTTACACAAGTGTTCATTATGTTAATAGTGTTATTTATTCTTGTGGGCTTATTTTTGGTAATGTGATTCACATACTTTTTAATGTGTGAAATATTCCTTTAAACATCAACAAGCAATTAGCCAAGGTGGGAAGTCAGGTGATAGAGGAAACACGGGGCCAATAAATTAGAGAGTTTGCCTGGCTTTGGGAGAGAGAGCAGAGTTAAAATCCTAGGGAGAAAGTGGGAAGTGTTTGCAGCCAGAGGTGTAATGGGTGCTAAGTCCAGAAGCCAGATGCATTCAAGGCTCTGGTGCTGGGGTGTGGCTGCAGGTGAGAAGGTGGAGGAATGTTCATCCCTCCCCTCTGCAGCCAGCTTGGGGGCTGGCCTCACAAGGCTCAAGTTCCCCCAGTAGAAGTACTGCTGTGGGTACAGTGGGGCCTCAGGTTGGAAAGGAGGCCATGCACTCTCTGGACTGTGTGCTTTGCGTAGCTCAGTAACAGGTGTTGGTGCAGGTAGGCAGAGGTCTGTGGGCACTGTGCTTGCCAACCTGGTCTTGGGCCCTGGTCAGCGTCTGATGGTGAAGTAGAGTTGCTGGCATGTTTGCTAAGATTTGGGGGTTGACTGAATCCTCTATCCTGAGGTGGGTGTAGTTGTGAGGGGGCAGCCATGGGTGGTTCCTGGTCACTGGCTCACAGGAGGCTTGAGAAGTGCGGAGAGGCTGGCAGTCATTCCGATGGGATGTTTCTGTGCAGTTGTGACAGTGTGCTGTGTGTGTCCCGTGAAGGGGCTATGGCACAGCACGCCCAGACGGAACTTCTTTGGGCATCTGTGTGCTCTCCCATCCCAGGATTGTAGGATTCTTGGGGCCAGTCGGGGGCAGGTATGGGGCTGGGACTAGGAGTTATTTTAGAGGGAGGGTGAGGAAGATAGAATTTGTGCATGTTTAAGGCCGTGTTTGAAGGAAAGCATTTGAACAGGTAGTTGGAGGTTGGAGTTTTCAACTACCAGATGGCACTTCTGCAGGGGTAGAGTGGGACTCAGGAGTGAATGGGATGTGCTGAGGGTGTCAGGGGAAGCCCAGCTGGGAGGTTGATCTGTAATTGGAGCTTGGCCTGCAGCCAGCTCTCCGCTCTGGGAGCCTTATCATGTGCATCTGTAGACATGTGCAGCACCAGGCACCATTGTTGGGTGCAGAAAGGACATTGGAGGGGCCTTGCTTCCCAGGCGGTCTGGGCAGGAAGTTGTGGAGGGCACACCAGGGCATACAGTGGCACACAAGTCTTCCTGGGAAGAATTGGTGTGCAGAGGCCAGGCAGAGACTGGAGCAGCAGGGAGCCATCTCTCCTTGTAGTTCCTCCAGATATAGCCCCTCAGATCTGCACCAGTAGTTAAAAGTGGAGATCCTGTCAGGCTTGGTGGCTCATGCCTGTAATCCTAGCACTTAGAAGGCTGAGGCAGGAGGATTGCTGCGTGTTCGAGGCCAGCCTGGGCTTTGTAGTAAGTTCAAGGCCAGCCTGAACTACATTTAAAAAAAAAATGGAAATCCTACCTCCCTTCCCATATTCCCATTGGATAGGTCTGTCTGGGCTATGCCTGGGGAGATGTATTTTTAATAAACACTGTCACCCTACCACACCCATATATTTACAGTGATTTTGAAGTGCACTGAAGTTTTGAGGTTCCTTCATTATTTTACTAATGCAAGGAATGCCCCTCCCAAACCTCAGGCAGGGTTGGAGTTCCTTTTTGTGCACCTGCCTCTAAGTGTGGAATCCATATTTCTGTAGCATTAGGTGCCCTTTCTTAGGTCCAGGGCTGCTGCAGTGGGAATAAGGAGCTGGGACCTGGCACAAATGCATGTACAGTAGTAAGCTGGAGGTGATAAGGCATGGAGTCTATCCTTGAGAAGAGAGAGTCTCACCCTGTCCTTTGAGGTGGTCTGATATCTGTGTCTAGTTGCAGTGGTTTGGGGCAGCAGCCCTTGGGACATACTCAGCCTTTCTTACCTCTCTGGGGGCACAGGTTCTGGGCGTGGGGAGGCTGAGACACGGGAGTGCATCTACTACAACGCCAACTGGGAGCTGGAGCGCACCAACCAGAGTGGCCTGGAACGCTGTGAGGGCGAGCAGGACAAGCGGCTGCACTGCTACGCCTCCTGGCGCAACAGCTCAGGCACCATTGAGCTTGTCAAGAAGGGCTGCTGGCTGGACGATTTCAACTGCTACGACAGGTACTGCCTAAGCACCCCTTCTTCTGCCAAAGCCTGCCTGTGCTTGCGCCACCTGCTGGGCTCTGCGGGTCTCGGGATGTCTGAGTGAAAAAGGGACTTGTGAGGTGGCGCTGTGTCCCGGCCCTTCCACAAGACACTTGCACAGTCTTAGCTCTGTGGAGGTTGTTGGTGCATGTTAACCCCTGGCTGTCACTCCTTAGCTTTGGGTCATACTTTAGGGGGTGTGTCACACCATCCCACCGAAGTTACCCATGACGTACTGTCTGTGGGGAGGAGTTTGCACAGGCCTGGGAGAGTCTCGCACTGCCCTGCCGGAAGGGGTGTAAGGAAAACTCTGCCTTCAGGCAGGAGTGTGTGGCCACCGAGGAGAACCCCCAGGTGTATTTCTGCTGCTGTGAAGGCAACTTCTGCAACGAGCGCTTCACCCACCTGCCGGAAGCGGGGGGCCCAGAAGGTGAGGGGCCAGTGGGAAGAGGGGTCCTGACCCAGCAGATGGGGGCCTCTCTTTAGCCTAGAGTGGCTGCAGGGTCTTGTGGAGGTGTGGTTGTGGGCGGGCTGTGTGATGCAGGGCTCCATGTGTCCCCCAGTCACGTACGAGCCACCCCCGACAGCCCCTACCCTGCTCACGGTGCTGGCCTACTCGCTGCTGCCCATTGGGGGCCTCTCCCTCATCATCCTGCTGGCCTTCTGGATGTATCGACATCGCAAGCCCCCCTATGGCCATGTGGACATCCATGAGGTGAGACGGTGCAGGTTTGGGGCAGGGCAGGGCAGGGGAGGTGGGGGAGTGGAGGTCAGACCACATTAAGCCCTTAATCTCTTCCAGGATCCTGGGCCTCCACCTCCATCCCCTCTGGTGGGCCTGAAGCCACTGCAGCTATTGGAGATCAAGGCTCGGGGGCGTTTTGGCTGTGTCTGGAAGGCTCAGCTCATGAATGACTTTGTGGCTGTCAAGATCTTTCCACTCCAGGTGAGTAGGGGACTCCGGATCATCCTGCCTCACTGTGGCCAGTAATGGGGTTGTCCAAGCCCTGGATGCACAGTGGGGTGACAGGGAAGTGGCCTCAGTAGGTAGGAATGGTCACTTACATCACCCTTGGCTGGTCTGAGGATTGTGTGCAGCAGTAAATTTCCTTTGTAGGACTAAAGTAGGGTTTTGCCCAACCTTGATCTACTTTGGTTTCCAGGCTTTTGATCTTGACAATGTGATGTGGTGGGCACAGACCGCTGCAAGCAGTTGCCTAGAACACTTAGCAAAGCCCGGCCTGGCTGTGCCTTTTACTTGTTGGGTGACACTAGGTAACTTACTTCCTCTCCTTGGGACCCAGTGGTTCCATTTGTGGATCATGGTGCTGTGATTATGCTAAAGTGATCTCTGGATTGCTGTTGGGCTGATGCTCCTGAGCCCAGCCCTGTGCTGCTTCCTATCCCCTTATGGATGCTGAAGCTGGCAGGCCAGGGTAGGGATGGGGTGAGGGTCTCTGTCCCGCTGTGGGGCCTTGTGGCTGAGCTTCTTCCCACCTCAGGACAAGCAGTCATGGCAGAGTGAACGAGAGATCTTCAGCACACCTGGCATGAAGCATGAGAACTTGCTGCAGTTCATTGCTGCCGAGAAGCGAGGCTCCAACCTTGAGGTGGAGCTGTGGCTCATCACGGCCTTCCATGACAAGGTGGGGGAGGTCGATCAAATGGACTCTAAGATGAGATGGAAAGGTCCCCTTGGTGGTGTCCATGATGAGGGAGCCCCTACCACAGGGGTCTCTACAGTGAGAACCTCTGACCCTGGGCTAATTACGTGTGCATGATACAGCATATATTCCTCCCAGGGCTGGGCTGGGCTGGGTCCTCCTATTCTATATCCAGAGCCTATGCCCAATTTCTGTGCTGCCTTCTCTCAGGGCTCCCTCACGGATTACCTCAAGGGGAACATCATCACATGGAATGAACTGTGTCACGTGGCAGAAACGATGTCACGAGGACTCTCGTACCTGCATGAGGATGTGCCCTGGTGCCGTGGCGAGGGCCACAAGCCGTCTATTGCCCACAGGTATGTGGGTTAGCAGGTGTGGCAGAGCAACTGGGCACAAAACCTGGCCTTCACCTGTGTTGTGGGAATGGTATGGCCTCCCAAGCTGCCTTCTGGTGCCCTCTAATGGCGATGTGAGAAGGTACTGACTTCATTACTGTGGAGAGTTGGCTCAGCAGTCTCAAACGTTTTTGGTTAGGACTCTTTGACTGTTAAAATGAGGTTTTGCATATGTAGGTCAGTTTGTTGGTCTTTGCTGGTGTAGAACACCCACGTTCTGTTACCCGTCAGAGAGGACATCATCTGTCATGTAGCCCCTGGGAAAGTCTTCTCTATAATCCTGAAAGGTGAGTTTATTAGGAAAGGCAAGTGGCAAAGTACAAAAATAATTAATATTAATAAATAACAATCTCCTGAAACAGTCCCAGGGACGTTCTGGTCCTTGAAGCACACTTAGAAAACCCCTGTGTTAGCTAGATGTGGTGTTTTATGCTTGCATTCCCAGCACTCTGCTCTGGGCGGCCAAGGCAGGAGAATTGCAAGTTTGAGCTCATTCTGGGCAACTTACAACTTAGTGAGGTCCTGTTTTAAAATAAAAGTAAAACTGGGCCTGGCAATGAAGCTCAGTACAAAGGTCCTGGGTTCAATCCCTGGTACCATCAAACAGAAACAATTCTTGTGTTAACTTACCACCATTGTGCTTCACTGAATGTTCGCCATACACTAAATGCTTTGAGAAATACCAACTCATCTAATCCTCATTACTGCTTTGTGAGGGAGAAACTTGTCTTTCTTAGTGCCATCCTACTGGTAAAGGAACAGTATTGCAGAGATGTTGAGTGACTAATCAATGTCTCATACTAGTCTGGCTCCATGCCTATGAGGAAGGGGAAGACACCTTGAATTCTAGACTTCAAAGCCAAAGAATCCATAATGATGTCAACAGTAATGACACGGAAGGTTGACTGTGTGAAATTGCCACTTTGTAGGTCAAAAGGTTGAATGTTGCATCCTGCATATAGTTCAATTTAAGAGTAATGTATTGTAAGTCTGCCAGAGGCTGCCCAAAGCTTTTTTATATTACTCAAGTTTAATCATCTCCAGCAAGGTTGAGACAGTACTGGGAGAGTTGAGGCCTCAAAGTAGCTCTTTTGGTATGGGGTGGAGCCGTGCAAACACTGGTACTGTGCTCTGCCTGCCTATATGGCCTGCATAGGGTTCTTGGCAAGTTGACTTTAAATTTCTCCTTTCATCCACATTCTAAATATTGTAAATTATTTTTAGAAATAAAGGCCAATGTACCTGCCCCCAACCCCTCTGAGAATATTTGGGTTGGGTTTTGATACTTTGGGGACTGGGGCAGGGTCAGTCTAGCCATTGGCAGAGGAATGTCTTCGCCAACCCTGGCGGAAACCTTCTACCCAGGGCCACAGGGAATTCCCACCCATGTGTGGGCCCCTGAAGATGCTTCACCTCTGTACCCTAACACAGAGTCTGCACCCCAGATGGCGTGTGGGGGGCTTAGACTCTGGATCTTGAGATCAAGGTGGTCTTTAGGTGAAGAATGTGTTGGCCATGTTGTTCTGTTTCATCTAGGCCCACTTGTTTCCACAGGGACTTTAAGAGCAAGAATGTATTGCTGAAGAGTGACCTCACGGCTGTGCTGGCTGACTTCGGCCTGGCTGTTCGGTTCGAACCAGGAAAACCGCCAGGGGATACCCATGGCCAGGTACCAATCCTGGGTGGGAAAATGAGGGGCCTGGCCAAGGGGATGCTCTGGTATTCAGCTGGTGAGGTGAGGGACAGAGATCACTTCATGAATTCAGAGCGCTCAGAGAACAGGGCTCTTTTTGTGCCTGTGTGGAAACCAAGACCTGGAGCTTGGTGAAGCTTCCCTGGGCCATTGGGATTTTAGCCACTTAACTTTGTAGTCTCAGTTTCTTGTTCAATCACAGTTATTAAACAGGATAAAACAGGAAGATTGCTGGACATGGTGGCACACTCAGGAGATTAAGGCAAGGATGATTACTCTGAATTTGAGGCCAGCCCGGGCCATTTAGTAAGACCCTGTCTCAACAGCAACAGCAACAACAAAAGTACTAAGATCCAAACCAGGAATCTTTAAAAAAAGTAGCTAAAAATTAAACCCAGCAAACTGTCCTAAAACAGTCAGCTAATGATATTTGTAAATGTTTTTTCTGCCTTTGCTTTTAGCCTTAATCTCAGTAAAATACATCTTTGATGTAGCTCCTCATGGTATTGCTGTAGCAATTTGCTAACAATTCTATAAAAAATATCATCAGATGTAATTTGTAACTCTGCTGTGAGTGCAGTGAATCAAGGCTTCCCATCCCTGCATCCTACCTGAAGCCTACCACCCTGCCCCCATCTGGTGTACATCGGCTGTAGCTCCCCTGCCCAATGGTGTGTTTGCTTGTGCCTGGTCAGTCTCTGGAGATCCTGCCCTCCTCCATCCTCATGCAGGTAGGCACCAGACGGTACATGGCCCCTGAAGTGCTTGAGGGAGCCATCAACTTCCAACGAGACGCCTTCCTGCGCATTGACATGTATGCTATGGGCCTGGTGCTGTGGGAGCTGGTGTCTCGCTGCAGGGCTGCAGATGGTGAGTGGGATGGTGGCTTTGGACATCTCAGGTTGGGGTTCAGGAGCTGCCAGGCCTTGGGGTGATCCCACTAGACTTTCTTTCCTCGTAGGACCTGTGGACGAGTATATGCTTCCCTTTGAGGAGGAGATCGGCCAGCACCCTTCTCTAGAGGAGCTGCAGGAGGTGGTTGTGCACAAGAAGATGAGGCCTACTATTAAGGATCACTGGCTGAAGCACCCGGTGAGGGGCTTCATAGAAGAAGGGACCTCTGTGTATAGGAAGAGCCTGAGATCAAGGGTGAATAGGGCACAGAGGAAGCTGCCATGCTCCCTGGACCCTAGGCAGGTGGCTCTGGGTGGGTATGGGGAGTAAGTAGGATGATGCCCCCTTCGATGCCCAGTGTGACTGAACCGCTATACTTTGGGCTTGTTTATTTGGGCTTTGCAGAAGATTTGATTTGAATATCACTGTTCAGGGTGTCTGCCCTAGGAGAGGCCAGGTGGCTCAGTGAACCCTTCTGGAGGCTGTGGGAGGTGAGTGGGCTCAGGGTGGTGGTTTCCAGGAGGGCAGGCATCCTGATGACCACAGCTTGCCCTGGATCCAGCTTGTGAGTGGGGGCTGGAGGAGCATTATCAAGTTTACTGTCCCCCATGCTCATTCTCACCAAGGGGCTCTAATGAGGTTATCTTTCCCCTTTCTTCCCCCGCTGTTCAGGGCCTGGCCCAGCTCTGTGTGACCATTGAGGAGTGCTGGGACCACGATGCAGAGGCTCGCCTCTCTGCAGGCTGCGTGGAGGAGCGAGTGTCCCTGATCCGGAGATCGGTCAACGGCACTACCTCGGACTGTCTTGTCTCCCTGGTGACCTCCGTCACCAACGTGGACCTGCCCCCTAAAGAGTCCAGCATCTAAGCCCAGGACGTGTCTCTGCAGACTCAGTGGATCTGAAGAAAAAAGTTGTGTTTTGTTTTGGAAATCTTATAAAACCAACAAACACGTAAAAAATGCAGCTGCTATTTGACCTTGACTTTTTATTATTATTATAATTATTATAATTATTATTATTAATATTATTTTTGGATTGGATCAGTTTTTACCAGCATATTGCTCTACTGTATCGCGAACAGCGGACATGTCAGCAGGCGTTGAGGTGCTGAGCTGTGAATGCAGAACCAGCGCCATGCTGAGGAGCCTCAGCCACCTCCTGTCCTTTGGGATTCATTTTTCCCACTTTCTCTTTGTTTGTTGTCTCAGAATCTGTGACACAAAGAAACCCATCTCCTGTCTTAGGAAACTTAATGCTGCAAACTCTACTAGAGGAAACTCTGAAGACTGTTACATAAGAACATACCTTCCTCAGAAGAGGACTTCCTCCCCTCCACCCTTACCCTCCCTCCCCACCTTTTGTTTTGTGTTTCTCCCTTTCTAGGCAGTGAGCGTAAGAAACAGCAGATGTGTCTTTCACGGATCTAACGGGTGTTGTCCTGACCAAGGAGAACTGGGATGAGGACGAAGGATGGTTTGGACAGGAGTTGGAAGGGGAGGAGGTGTTGGGTAGGGGTTGGAACAGAGCTACACTGGACTCAGGCACGTGCAGAGCAACATCCTTTGCTATGGAGGCTACTTCTCAGGTAACCAGGAATTGAGAGCAAGGACCTTGTGGGCCGAGCATTAATGGCAAGTGTGGGGTTTGGAGAAAGTCTGAGAACAGGGGCAGCTCAGGGTCCCGACCAGTTTTTTTCCAGTAACTTTTGGGCTTGGCTATGGGATGAAACATTGCTGAAAAATTTTAAGATGACACAAAGGCAGAAATCGTCATAGTTTAGTGAACATTCTTCATAAGACCCAATTCTATAAATATCTTTAATGGAGGAAATACTGAAACACCACTTCCTCCTAGAGCAGTTCACAAAATGCCCATGGGGGCCCTTCACAGCTGAAGCTGGCTGAGCAACCCCTCCAGGACCTGTGTCTCTGGGGCCTTCTGAGCCATACAGCTCTGGCTCCACCCGCTGTGTTGACTTCACTGACCCCTTTTTGTAACTTGTGGATGCGGCTTTCTCCAGACCCCTTGAAATGGTACATAGTCTAAAATATTTTCTATTTTGCCATAACCTTGCTCTAGTCAGTGAATGTTCCTGATGCTGCTGTTTCGACATTTGAATTTTTTACTTTTTGGAACATACTAAATTTGTTTTCAAACAAAACGTCCATATCCACATATACACGTAGGCTTTGCTATGTGGCTTCCGAGGTTTAAATTTTAAGAAATAAAAGAATTAAAACTTCACGACCACAGACCACCTCAAACCAGAAATACCTCAGAATTTTTTCTACTTGTATAAGTTTTATTATGTATTTTGTTAGTTGTGTTGTCTTGTAGTAAGTATATTTCAATGTAAGTTGGCTTTTATGACAAGGAAGTTTTAAAAAATAGAGGAAAAAAACCCACATTTGTGTCTTTTAGGGAGTACTACTATTTTTGTTTGGTAAAGCCCCCCTGTAAATAATTATCATTGACTGTAAGTAGGTTGGCTGTCTGGGCTGAGTCTGGGCATTCATCACTTTTGTTGGGAAGGCTTTTCCTTCCAGTTTCTGTAGACTGTTTTATTTAAAAACATCACATCTCTTGAATATTTAGGATAGGTGAGTTGGTGGGTGATGGCAGAGCTTGACCTCTGTGAACTGAGGAGACCTCCTCTGGGGCTAATGGGGGGGCGCTCAGGTGTTCCCTGTGACTTGATGGGTCAGTGTTGAGAGTGACAGCTCCACTTGAGCTTGGTGGGAATGGCCGTTAGGCCCACGTGAGCTAATTTTACCTGAGGTTTAATTCCTTAAGTTGGTTAGCAGCGGTGTCCCTGAGGAGATGGGCCGCGCCTGCCTGCGCGCTGTACCTGGAGGGCAGTTCTAAAGGAGCACATCTGGGTGGAGGGTCTTGCTCTTGGCCAGCCCAAGGGTCCATGGGGTCAGCAAAGTGAGTGGCACCGTGTACGTGGAGGTAGCTGCCTCTGCTCAGTGTGCTGTGTGTGGCATCTCACCCTACTATGGGGTGGTGTTGCTCTGGGGGTTGGGGCACAGGGTGCTGGGGGAAGCCAGTTTCCTCCCCTCAGAGCTTGGTATTTGCTTCATGGGTCAAAATGTGGTCTGGCCAGACGGCTATGCGGACAGGCGTTTTGTTTTTGTTTTTGTAAGCTATGTTGTCTTTTCCCTCAGAATAATTTTTAAACCACAAAATAGGCCTTACAGCAGTTGCTTTTCTTTTCCACTTATTTCTTTAAGAAGCTTTAAAGTATTTATTGAAAAGTGCCATATCTACTTTCTTTAGCTTTCTTCTCAGGCAGTGGGAGCATCTCTACTTTTCTCCCTCAGAAGAAACAAATAAAATTAGGTAATTCACTACAGGAATAATCAGATCACCAATTCTACCTGGTGCCAAACACTAAACTCCAGCTTTCTTTTTGGTTTTAGGTTTCCTCTGGGTGGTTTTTCTTATCTCTGCTGGTTGGATTCATAGAAGTGTTGGCCTGGCTGAGGGAGTGTTGAACTGTGGCCATGACATGGGACCTTCCAGTCAGGCCACAGTGCAGCAGGCCAGCCTGATGCCTTTTCTCTGAGTGGCTTCCCTCTTAGCTGACCCTGTGCCTAGATACTGAAGTGTCCCTGTGGAGCCTTGCTATCAGAATGAAGTGCCAGGGGTCGGTACCTGTTTGGTATGGCTGGGTAAAGGGAGAGACTGAAGGTCTGTGTCCGTTCCTGGGGTTTTAGTCTGTCTCTTCCCTCATGCTGTAAAATGTGCCCCTCAGATGTATACCTGGTTGCTAATGGCTGGAAAGTGGGTGATTTCCTTCTAGGGAGTGGCTCTGAGAACTCTTTTGCCCAGAGTATCTGTTCGTTTGCTGTCATATGCTGTCTGAGGGGAGCCCTAGTTTGCATTGATGATGACGATGATTGTGTCACAGGGCCTCTGTCTGTGCTCCTCTCCATACGTTACACAATATCCATTTTGGAGGTTCAGAGAACTGCTACTTTTTTATTGCCCCAAGCTCCGTGGAAGATGAGTGGCAGTGGGACCTGTCATCACTTTTCCTGTCCATGGAGGGGCTGTCCTATTCAGGGTGAGAGAGGCGCAACCAAGGATTCTTGCTCCTTCTTTTCTATGTGCTACTGTTTAAGCAGGCTCCTGATTGGGGATGGACATTGGCAGGTCTGGTTGGAAGCGCCTATGGTAACAGTGTGAAGTCACCCCTAGCTAGAGAAATCCAGGGATGAGCCAGGGCAATAGGACACAGGTAAAAACAAAGGCCATTATGTCACAGGGTCCTGCAGACAACGCTGAGGGATGGCTTGGCAGGGAAGCCCGTGGACATAGTCACCAGAGTATCCTGGGACCACGACATGAACTGGTGTTTTCCCATTGGTCCCTAGCATGAGGAGGCAAGGGGTACACATGGGATGTTTAGGGGAGAAGGATGCCTGGCTGCCAGGCAAAGTGGTGCCAGCTGCTTTTGATTCTGAATTCATTCTGTCTGCACTTGGAGTTGTTAGTGCAAAAAGAGAACGACGTTGTCTAGCCCTGAACACCTGTAGGAGGTGAGGGCCTCGTCCTCACATGCTCAGCAAAAGGAAGGCTCTCATCTTCAGGCCACAAAGCTTGCCCCAAGGGGCTAGGCTAACCCTCAGACTGCTTGATTTAGGAAGCACAATATATGACCCTGCAGTTTCTCACTGTCGCCTTCTCCATTTGGCCACATTCTTATCTTCAGGTACTCTGTCCGGGGGCTTGGGCTTTGTGTGTGGTTTTTCTCTTGGCAGGCCCAGCTGTGTATTGAATGTCCATGTGCCCTGGCTGAGAAGTCTGTCGTGTGGCCTCTGTGCTCAAGGAATGAAGGCAGGGAAGTGACTGTTGCATCCAGAGTGGGAAGACCAGATGGCTGTCTTGCAACAGAACTGTGCCTTTTTAAAGTATGTAATATAAAATTCCTATTCACTTATTGGTAATAAAAGGATTTGCTATTTGGTTTTCTCTCCCCTAAATAATTAGTAAGCAGAAGTAGGTAAGTTCTTAGAATCTGTAGTACAGGTTGAAAAACCAGTCACTATTCTAAAGAACTTGGCTTGCCAGCAGAGTATCTAAACTGGAAAGCAGTTTCCAAGAGTTCTTTCAGTTTCATCTTCAGTCTCAGTTGTCTAAGGCTGTTGGATTTCGATGGCATATCTTTGGAGAGAGAGCCAGGCTTGGCTACATCTCTGGGCATTACAACACACCTTTCCAAGCCACACAGCACATCTCCTGATCTACTCTCATCCTCCCGAGGAAGCAGCCAGAAAGGGAGGGGCAAGGTGGCCCTTCCTCCTTCTCAGTTTGCTAAGGTGAAATTTCGTAGTCAGTGGCTGTAAGAAAAACTAAACTAATAAAATACTCAGCAGCTAATACATTCAGGAGGAATGAAGAGTTCAAGTCTTGATCAACATTGTCTTTTAGATAAAAGGCCCAGTACTTCAGTGGATGAATTGTATATCTTCTCAATCTAGATTTTAAACATTTAATGCATTCAGGGTTATGCACGTGATTCTTTAGGTAAGATTTGGTAGTTGATATGTGACTAGCCGTCTACCTGTGAATGTATCCCAGACCTTTAGAAAACTTGGAAAAGTTATTTGAGATAGTAATTTAGTTTTGTAGGAAAAAAAAAAGTTGAAATACTCCTTTGGAAGTTAATTCACTTAACCTAACGACATTTTAAAAAATAATTCATGAGTTCAAAAGGCCTATTGAGTCACGTGGAGTGGTGCACAACTATAATCTCAACACTCAGGAGGCTGAGGCAGGAGGCTTACTGCGAGTTCAAGGTCAGGTTGTAGAACTCACTACATAGTTCAAGGCCAACCTGACTAACATAGTAAGACCTTGTCTCAAAAAAAAAAAGAAGCCCATCAAACTAGCAACACATAAAAGTCCAAATTATTGAGGATATTTTGAATGTTCCTATTTCACACCCTCTTGGGGTT